GGCGGCCCCGCTATTCCTGGCTACGGTGGCGACCATGGTAACGGCGGGGCAGGGGGTGCTAAGAATCTCCGGTGGAGGTTCGGTTGCCACCTTAGACGACTCGACCTGGCAACGTACAACGCACGCACCCTGAGGACTGACCAGAAGATCGTGGAGCTGGAAGAAGAGATAGACAAGTTGCGCTGGCATATTATAGGATTATCCGAAGTCCGAAGAGAGGGGGAGGACACGGTAATCCTCGAATCTGGCAACTTGCTCTATCACCGGGAGGGCGACCATCTGTCCCAAGGAGGTGTCGGATTTATCGTCCACAAGTCTCTCGTTAACAACGTTGTAAAGATCGGGAGTGTGTCGACGAGGGTTGCGTACCTTATACTCAGAATCACCAAACGGTATTCGCTGAAGGTCATACAGGTTTACGCACCAACCTCGGCACACCCCGATGGGGAGGTGGAGGAAATGTATGAGGATATCTCTAGAGCCATGCATTCCTCCAAAACCCAATGTACGGTGTTAATGGGAGACTTCAATGCAAAACTAGGCACAAGAGAGAATGGTGAACTGAAAGTAGGGAAATTTGGAAAAAAAAAAATGAGATTGACTTCATTATGACGACCAGACGACAACTGTTCAGTGATGTCTCCGTGATCGCGAGGGTGAAAACTGGTAGCGATCACCGAATGGTTAGAGGCACACTGAACCTAAACGTTAAGTTGGAGAGGTCTTGTCTAATGAAGTCAACGCTCCGTCCCCCTCGTGCTCTGTTCCAAAGTCCCGAAACCTTTCAGCTCGAGTTACAAAACCGTTTTCAGTGCCTAGAAGACTGCAATGAAGTGGACGATATGAATGACAAGCTCGTGGAAACTGTCCATGTGGTCGGAGCTAAGTTCTGCAAGACCCGCCGCAGAAGAACACAAAAACTCTCCGATCACACTCTTAATCTCATGGCTGTTAGACGGGAGATGAAGCTACATTCTTCAACAGACTTGACAGCATACAGGCATCTGAACAGACAGATCTCCAAATGCATGCGGCGGGACTTACGCAACTTCAATACAGCTCGTATTGAAGAAGCGATCGAGCAGAACCAAGGCTCCAAAGTCTTTGCCAGAGATCTGTCTGCCAGAAAGAGCCACCTGTCAAAGCTGAAGACAGAATGTGGCAGCATCGTTTCCGGGACACCTGAGATTTTGAGTGAGATTGAGAGGTTCTATGGGCAGCTGTACACGTCATCGTTGGAGCCACACGCAAGTGTGAGTAACGATCCAAGAGCGAGTCTCATCCGACACTATTCCGAAGATATCCCGGACGTCAGTCTAAGCGAGATTAGAATGGCTCTCCAGCACCTTAAAAACGGTAAGGCCCCAGGCGAGGATGGAATTACAGCGGAGCTTCTGAAAGCGGGTGGAAGACCGGTACTTGAAGTCCTTCAGAAGCTCTTTAATTCCGTCCTCCATGGTGGCATTACACCGGAGGCGTGGAGCAGAAGTGCGGTGGTCTTGTTCTTCAAGAAAGGTGACAACGCTCTCTTGAAGAACTACCGACCGATTTCCCTTCTGAGCCGCGTCTGCGTGCTGTTTTCGAGAGTCATTACGAATCGTCTCGCGCGCAGACTTGACGACTTCCAGCCTCCCGAACAAGCCGGTTTCCGAAAGGGCTTTAGCACCATAGACCACATACATACCCTTCGGCAAATTGTACAGAAGTCCGAAGAGTACAATTTGCCACTATGTCTGGCGTATATGGACTATGAGAAAGCCTTTGATTCCGTCGAAATTTGGGCGGTGCTGCAGTCCCTTCAGCGGTGCCAAGTTGACTGTCGGTATATCGAAGTGTTGAAGTGCTTGTACAGTAGGGCTACGATGGCTATCCGAGTACAGAACCAGAGTACGAAACCTATCCAATTGCAGAGAGGTGTAAGACAGGGTGACGTCATATCCCCGAAACTCTTCACCGCTGCATTGGAAGACGTTTTCAAGCTTCTGGACTGGAAAGGATACGGTATCAACATCAATGGCGAGTACATCACTTACCTTCGATTTGCCGACGATATAGTCCTTATGGCAGAATCGCTGGAGGACCTAAGCACTATGCTCAATGACCTCGATAGTGTTTCCCAACGGATAGGTCTTAAGATGAACATGGACAAAACAAAGATCATGTTCAATGTCCATGTCACACCTATGCCGGTAGTTGTTGGGAGCACTAAGCTCGAAGTTGTTGACGAGTATGTTTACCTGGGACAAATAGTCCGACTAGGTAAGTCCAACTTCGATCGAGAGGTCAATCGACGGATTCAACTCGGCTGGGCAGCGTTCGGGAAGCTACGAGACATCTTCTCGTCAGACATACCTCAAAACCTGAAAACGAAATTGTACAACCAGTGCGTGTTGCCAGTGATGACTTATGGAACTGAGACGTGGTCCTTCACTGCTGGCCGTATGAGGAAGCTCAAGGTCGCTCAGCGAGCTATGGAGAGGGCTATGCTCGGAGTTTCTCTGCGTGATAAACTTAGGAATGAGGATATCCGCAGTAGAACCAGAGTAACCGACATAGCCCAACGGATTAGTAAGCTGAAGTGGCAGTGGGCCGGCCATATAGCTCGAAGAACCGACAACCGATGGGGAAGAAAGGTTCTCGAGTGGCAGCCTCGTACCGGTAGGCGAAGTGTAGGGCGTCCCCCCACGAGATGGAGTGACGACCTGGTAAAACATGCAGGAAGTCGATGGATGCAGGTGGCTCAGGACCGTGCTTTGTGGCATTCTTTGGGGGAGGCCTATGTTCAGCAGTGGACTTGTGAAGGGCTGTAATGATGATGATGAAGATTGCATATATTCAGAACAGAAAAACAGAACATATTATATACAAAGGGCGCCAGTAATGTCAAAATAATTATTGCCTTTGTCATCATGTCAGAATACTGGTTATGGTTAAAATAAAAACTCAAGTACATACAAATACATTTATTTACCTTTGGTATTTTTACATTAATTGCTAGAAATAAATTACAATATAATCTACTTACATGTATGTATATAATATTTTTCATTGATGTAAATAATTACAATTTATGATTATAATTATAATCGCTAAAGTTATATTGGTAATTAAGTTTCTAATTGACTTTTTCATATCAGTCTTGAAAAAATTAAAATTAAATAGATTTATTTACGGTGATCATTTGAACATATCATACAAAAAGTCATTTAACAATGACATAATTTTTAATCAATGTGTGATCTCTTGTTTAACAACAAACGTAAAAAAATTTGTTTTTGTCGGTTTCTTTTAAATTAATGTCATAATGTAGGTTTTATGGGTTGTATTACCTTAGAAAAATCTAACCACTACCACTATATAAATCGGAATGTAGAACTATAATTCAATATTTCTAGTGTTACAAGACTACAATAAGTAGTTTTCACAAAATTAGGGAGAGGCGAAGTGTAACTACTTGCGGAAGGAAATTTTTTAATCAGGTATTAATCAGACAAATTTATAAAAAAAAATAGATGTAATTTTTTTTTAAATGTTGGCAGTTTAATCGCGATTGGTAGAGCCACGCTGCAGCGTGCCTATAGGCTCGACCGGGGTAGGACTACGATCTCACAGATTACCAGGGTGAAACAGGAGAATAATGCCGTGTTTCGTATGGTAAGTGTAGAAAACTGGAGACCCTTTTTACTGGTGACGGGGTATTCCATCTTTTCCGTGTGTGTTGTGTGAGTGGGTCCCTGGATGGTTTAGATTCACAATTGCACCCAGTCGGTGGCGCTGTTGTCGAGATTTTTTTTTATAGGATAAGGTGACAAACGAGCACGCATTCCACCTAATGGTAAATGGTTGCTGCGGCCCATAGACATCTATATCTATCCTCCTTTGCGAATCAAAATGCAGATGCGATGTCAGCCGTGAGGACTAAGATGGAATGCCTCTTTTTCAGTAAAAAAAGGGTCTCCGGTTCTCTACACTTACCACAGTAGTGTTAAGCTGCTATTTTACGTTGGTATTCTGTGAGATAATACTTTTGTGGATTTATGTCACATGTGAAATACTCAGACCAGTGACGGAGGATAATGTAAGCAAGAGCAAGACGGTAGGTACTGCGATGCCAATCAGTCTGCCAAGCGCGTTGATGCAAGCAGTTATTCTATAGTAGGGATACACTCTTGTAAGGCCCAAGATCAACAGTTATCCAGGTATGGACTGATGACGGAAAAAAAAAACTAATTTTATTGGAGTGATGTTCCTTATCGGACGGTACGGGTTTGGCGGATGGGGGCTAGGCGACAAAAAGTGTAAGATTTTTCCGTCACGACCCCTTGTGACGCAGTGTAGACAGCCTTGGCGGCTACAAGGAAGCGAGATGGAATGATATACATCTCACTCGCACTTTTTCTTATCTTGCTATGAAATAAATATTATTTTATTTTAAATAACGCTTCATTTTAATATCCCTAGTAATTAACTCATTTGTATTTGTTAATCAATAATATAAAACGTTTATCAATAATAATAATATACTACGAAAGTAATTTTGTTCCAACCGAGTGTTCCACGACACTCACGCATGTTTTTTTTTAGAAAAATTATAAATCCGCCGTCCCCTCAAGTAAAACGCGTTTAAATATTAGGAAACTTATTAATCACTCAAGTGAATGTATGGAATAACTTTACAAATAATATCGTATTTCCTTCAGATTATGTTAAAAAAAAATAAGCTTTTTCGTTTAAAAATGAGCATTATTGATTTGACAATAAATGATAAAAACAACTTAAGTTAATATATATTTATGGTAAATTTAAACTTAGGTCTAATTTTCGATGTAGTCAGTACGAAGCATTTAAGTCGGTATGTTTTAATATTAAGTAATTTACAAATAATAATAATAATTTAAGATTGCCTTTGGTTAGGTTATTGGTATAATGTGAATTATTAACTACAACAATATATGTATAAACTATGTACAATATTTACAAAGTGTTTACATAAGTTAAATTCATAATTTTGTTGGGTGATTGTTTAGAGGATTTCTTTTCTCCCCATAATTCGGGGAATTCGATGAATGTCCAACCGTCCTACTGCCCCAGGTTGTTCTTTTCGTGACTGGATTATTCTTGCAGAATTTTAATAGGTTTCCATATGCCGCTCTATATTGTCTGTTGGTCGCTGCGTAAATTAACGGATTTATGACACTTGAAGCCCAAGCTAAAATGGAGGCTATAATATGAAGCCAGGGGTACGTAATTCCGTCGTCCGCGACGTTCATTATCATCAGGGGGAGGAAGCAGGCGAGGAAACAAAGGAATATGGTTAGCATAAGTGTTGTTAGACGGGAATCTTCTTCCTTCTCTTTCGCCGTCTGACCACCCAGTTTGCTGTAAACAAAAGCTGCAATTAGGTACACCATATATTTAGTAACAAACTAATGTTAGAACACTATACTATATTTATGAGGTACATGTACAGTTTTTAAAATGTTGTCGAATTTATAATTTATTTACACTATAATATTAAAATGGTTTAGAACTTTGGATTTACACTGACATTTCACCTTTGAATTGGCTAGCGAAACCTAGCCCTGCAATTAATTTAAGCATAATCTATACAAATAAATAAAACTGAAGTGTCTGTTTGTAATGTCAAAATAGCAGCTTATTTAAGGGTAGCTTTGTGACCGGCTTTATTGTACGTGTTGGAAGATTTTATAAGTATCATGCAGAGTTTTCGATATATTACATCTTAGTATCGACTTTAAAAGTTATGTATTATGTGAATTTTTATTCGTTTCAGTTACACACACACAACTACACCATAAATATAGCTGCAGCATGGCTCTACCAGGTAAATTCGTCGTATTTTGTTTGTATCAAATTGAAGAAAAATCTCTTTGGTTGTACTGTTTGTATCTGGCTGGTTTTAATATCAATACATATAGGACATTATGAAGAAGAAAATAAAAAGAAACAAACACTTTCCTACTATTTTTCAATTATTTTTCTGTCCGCCAAAATGAGTGAATCTAACTAAGAAATTCGATACATTCTGAAGTTTTATTACAAAAAAAAATTCAAAAAATAGGAAAAATTAAAAATTTTGTACAACCGTCTTCAATATAAATTATTAAGGATAACTCAAAAACTACTAGTCCAGACCTTGATCAAATTTATATGGGAGCAACTAGGAATTTTACAGTCGATGTACAGTATTTTAAAGTCGATGCCATTTTTAAAAAAGTGGAGCAAGATCGGCATATTAGTATATGCCTATAATCCTTGGCTGTGTCGTAACTACTATGTTACGACACAGTCAAGGAATTGAGGATGTGGTCATCCTCATAAAACAGTTTTGACCCATTTGAAAAATTCTGGCTATACAAAAATGCTCGATATTTGGGTACCACACGAGCTCACTGAAAGAAACCTAATGAATCGTGTACTCATTTGCGATTCTCTATTGGAACGTAATGAAACTGAACCATTTTTGAAATGATTGATCACTGGTGATGAAAAGTGGATCACCTACGAAAAAAACGTCAGAAAAAGATCGTGGTCAATGGGTAGTCAAGTTCCACAGACTGTAGCGAAACCCGGATTAACACGCAATACTGCCAACAACTAATGAGAGTCAGGCAAGAAATTGAGAAGAAACAGCCGGAATTGATGAACAGAAAAGGAGTGGTCTTCCATCATGATAACGCCAGACCACACACATCTTTGGCAACTCAGCAATAATTGAGAGAGCTTGGTTGGGAAGTGTAAATGCATTCACCATATGGTCCTGACCTTGCACCCTCAGATTTTACCTGTTTCGGTCTCTTCAGAATTCTTTCTGTAGTGTTAGGTTATTAACATCAAGAGAAAACTGTCAAAACTATTTGTCAATTTTTTTTAATCAAAAATTCCAAGATTTCTACAGCAACGGGATTATATCACTACCTATAACATGGTACCATGTTATCGAACAAAATAGAACATATATTATATTATAATAAAATGCCATTAAACTTTGAAAAAAAAAATGCTTTGTATTTGTATATAAAATACGAAGAATAATTTTATACGTGGTAGAGCCATGCTGCAGCTATATTAGTAGTATAGTTGTAGCGAATGGGTCGGCTCGACCGGGGAAGGACCACGCTCTCATAGAATAGTAGCGTAAAATAGCATGTTTCGTGTGGTGAGTGTAGAGAATCGGCGACCCATTTTACTGGAAATGTGGCATTCCATCTTAGTCCTCACGGGTGACAACGCATCTGCGTTTTGATTCGCAAACGAGGATAGATGTAGATGTCTATGGGCCGCAGCAACCACTTACCATCAGATGGACTGTGTGCTCGTTTGTCACACTATCCTAAAAAAAAAGAAGAAACTTTTTCCCTGACCTTATAATTATTTTAAAAAGTGAAGTTTTATGTACAAATAAATCACGTGAAGCAATTTTATCACGGGTGCACGTAGCGGTTACTATGCAGAGTTGCTCACCCACATACACACCTTCGACCCTCAAGCTTCCTCTTGCTCTCTCGCACGCGCCAGTATATGCAAGAGTAGGACACGATGATAACTACGCACGGAAGCGCAAATCCGAAAACAAATAGGTATTTCTTCGGAGATCTTCCATCTTTTGGCAGAATCGTACATGAGAACGTATCACGTTCCAGGCCTAGTTGACCCCATACACCAAGCAGCGGCGGTATCTGAAAACAATTAACTGCAATTTATTCATCTGGATGTTTAACCTTTTATCTTTAATCTTTAGCGACCCATGACAGACCATTTATTTTATTCATTTTTCATCTTTAAAAATTTTTTTTAAGTTTTTCGGATATAATTTAAAATTCAAAAGTTTTGTACAACCGACTTCAATATAAATTATTAAGGTTAACTTAAAAACTATTATTCAGACCTTGATCAAATTTATATGGGACCACATGAGAAACATCAGCTTTCAAATAAAAAAAGAATCATCGAAATCGATACACCTAGAAAAAAGTTATGAGATAACACACATAAAAAAAGAACATACCCAGTAAAAAATTAAGAGGTAACACACATAAAAAAACATACAGTCGAATTGAGTACAGTCTCCTTTTTGAAAGTCAAAAAATTATATCTGTCGATCTGTGACCGGGCCAATTTACGGAATTGTGATGAAACTTTACGAACGGATAGAAATCAATGCCAGAAGGGATCTAGACTATATTTTCTACCGACTTCAAAAAGGAGCGGGTACTCAATTCGACTGTATGTTTTTTTTTATGTGTGTTACCTCTTAATTTTTTACTGGGTGAACCGATTTCAATGATTCTATTTTTTATTTGAAAGCTGGTGTAAAACTGTTACATTGGTGCCGGCGGGGATTTGAGAAACTGTTTCATATTTTAGCGCTTGCCCGCTGTAGACTCTTGTCGCAATAACTATTCAGTTTATTTGCTAGAAAATACCATATCACTTAAGTCAGCTTTTATATGTGGCAGAGTAACGCTGCAGAAAGTTGCAGTTGTATTATGACTGCAGCACGAATAGGCCAGCCCAACCAGGAAAGGACCACACAGAATACCAGCGTAAAAGAAATGACTAATGCTGCCATTTTACGTACGGTGAGTATAGACAACCAGAGACCCTTTTTATTTGGTAATGACGTATTCCACATTTATCATCAGAAGACACATAGCATTTTAGTACGGCCGTGTTTCATGTTTTAGAGGATTTGATAAGATTAAATAAAGGACATATAGATTGAAAATAAGGATATTATATCGTTTTCAATAAAATGCTTTTATTGTATCAGTAGCAACATTTATTAATATAAAAACAATGTTAATATGCAATGTAACGTAGTTTATATTTCCTAACATCGCGCGTACCTTAACGTGATTTTTAAATTCTTTGACTACAACTAATAGCGGAAATGTACTCACTCTTAAAATACGCACGATATTGCCTTGCATTCTATTAAAGATTTCAAATTAGGGAACAGATCAATTTTTGGGTCTAAAATATAGGACGTCCTTTAAAATAAAGGACGTCTGGCAACCCTAACTCTAGTTGTCTATTAGCCACACGATTTACTCATTACCAGGTGGATTGTGTGCACGTTTTTTACACTCATTAAGGGGCTACTCCATGCGAACGACCTTGAGCATTTGACCTAATATATTAATATTGTAGCGAGCGGCCCGCCGGAAGAAATATGTAAGACGCCACCTATTGTACGAAAGTAGTATTATTTTTTCAACATCAATAAACTATTTTATGGAAATACACATAGCCTACAAAGATAAATGTATTTTAATTTTTTTATTCTGTATATATTAGTTGCATTATATTAGAATTATGTATTTTCATATATTATCTAATTATGAAATTTTATAATTAATTATATATTAAAACTGAAGCATTGAAAATTGTGAGTTTAAAAGATACCTATTCACTATAGGTAAATAAATAGATAGCTCGGCTTTTGTACAAACATTTGGTGCAATAAAAAATAAATAAATAAATAGGATGTTTCGCATATGTGTTTTTGATTATTGTTAATTTTTACGTGTCACGTATTGAAAAGTTACCTACTAATTTTTGAACTGAGCACCTTGTAACTTAGCCTGCTTATTACTTATGCTAGCAGATATTATCCTCACCCCAATGATTGATGAGGATGAAAATCAATTTTATTTCTACATACGTAATTATATTTATTTATACATAAGGGTAACTTTAATAAAGGTAATATAAAAATCAACAAGAAGTTTAAGGGTTCAATCTTTCAATTTCAGTTGTAAAAAAACGTTACCCCCACACTAGGATTTTCTCCTGTGTCGTGGAGGCAGTTTACAAACATAAATTGCACAAAGACAAACATCCAGACCCGGAACAATTATTTGTAGGGCATACAAATACTTGTTCCATGCGGGATTCGAACCCGCGGCCCCCAGCGCAACAACTGATTGCTAAGCCACTGCGCCACCATGAAGCTAATACAAAAACTAACTTTGTATTTGCTTCATGGTCGCCGGGTTATAGCTAAAGTGACCATACGTCCCGTTTTGAACGGGACTGTCCCTTTTCTCGGTCTCCTGTCCCATTGTCCCCAAACAAAGCTCCGGGACACAAAATTGTCCCGTAACTAGTTGGATGGAAGTATTCAAAGTCAACAATCTTCAACATAGTTTTTTTTAATCGAATATATTTTATGCCTACCTGGTACGAATGCTCCGGTAGAAAGAGTATTTTTTTATTTTGCATAAATTGTGGACGTCTGAAAGAAACACTTACGGTTCCAGAGTTCTAAAGGCGATGTTGTTAACAAAGATAACAATAAAAAACTTGAGCAGAATTTTATTCTTATTTAAAATCATCACCAACTTTATTAAAGCAAATTTAATCCACTGACAAATGTAATTAATAATTAAAAAAAATATGTTGCATTTAATAATTACCGTCTATACCGAATATAATTTTATAGTGAACACTAATTGTATAAAGTTATAGTTTTTAGAGTATAAATAAACCCATGTCCTGTTACGAGTTAAAAAATAAATGGTCAGTTTAGTCTTTTTAGTTAAATTTAGTTTTAAAAATTTTTAGTTTATAGTAAAAAGTAGGTATATTAGTACCTACTTAGATACTTTTTACCGAATTATAAGTATAGAACACCTTATGTACTCAATTATTTTTTTAAAAAGAAGAAAAAACAAGCAATAAATAATATACTATATTTTAGCAAAAAACTATAACTTAGTAATACTAATTATAACTTAGAACATAAATGAAAAACTCATAACTGAGTTTTTGGCCCGACCCAGGATTCGAACCCGGGACCCCATGATCAGCAGTCGCACTACTACCACCACTAGACCAACGAGGCAGTACTATATCTAATAAGTTGTGGTTGGGTGATAATATTGAATTAGCCTTTTATAGTGTAAATTATAATATTTGTCGAAATTTTAATTATGGATTCGAACCTTACATGCTAATGGTGCTTCATTTTTTTATTTGCATTTACTTCAAAGAAAATACACGCAAAAAGCTTCATCGCGCAGTAAAAAGCACAACAAATATATGTATAACTAATACGAAAAATTATACTCAAAACAAACAAATAATACTACCTATAAATAACCTAATAAGTAATAATATTATCGACTCATATGACGTGGCGTATGCGTTGGTCGACGCTCTAACGACACGGGCTTCACGTCGAAGAGCTCAGCGCTCACTGACTTCAGCAAGCCCGTGAGCAGTAAATATGCCCAGATTTTAAAATAATTTCTTAATAAAATCAAATATTGGTCTTTTGAAAAAAAATTTACTATAGAAATGTTCATTAATAAATTGCCTATCCATTGGTGTAAATCGCAAAATAAAATAATACTTACTTTACGAGGAGATGCATGTTATCAATAATAATTTCACATTTATGTGGTTTCGTTGTAAGGAGATTATATTAATATTTATTCCTTTAAAAAAAAATTGGATATAGCTTTTATGGAATCAAGATTATGTAGAAATATAATGTTTTTTTTATTTGTTGATATATCTTTTAAATAAAAAGTAGATAGCTTCTAAAAACCGCCCAAATAACGACTAGCGCGACATTTTGCTCAACCTGCGCCTTAATATAAAATACTTTAAAATATATACAGGGTTATTTTGAAATAACCGACCAAATTTTCAGAAAAGGTTCAGAATAAGTAAAAGGTGAAGACAAATTAATTTCAAACAATCTCAAATATTCTGTCCTTTTTATCTTTTTGAATTCAAAATGCGTGGTAATGCATTATTTTAACTGATTTTACTGCGCACGCACAAATTCGTAAATCACATCAAATTTGGGATAATTTCAAATAAAAGTAGATGCCTTATTTACTCGTATTTTCAAAAACTGCAATAACGGTTTATCATTATCTATTTATATTTGAACTTCATTTTAAAACTTACCTACTCTTTGTAAAATAACCCTGTACATATAGGTATCTACTTACGGAAAGAGTTTAATAATAAATCTATACTTAGAAGATCTAGCAATCCTTGCATTTTAAATTAGGAAGTAAAATTAATTTCCCACTGATTTACATACATTAATAAATCCTACACAGTCCCCACCGCAGCGGACCTCACTCGTCGACTAATAATAATAACATGAATTAAACAACAGACTATAAAACGCGTCCCGCTTTGGTCCCGCTATTATAATGCGTTATGTGACCGAAACAATTGGATGAAATTGTTGCCACACTTCTAAACTGCCAGCACCCACATACTAGGCAATTAACAGTTGGGTAATATTAATGAAAATTACGGAAACGTTACTTATGACCGCCCTATTGTACTAATGACTTTTTGGTTTAATGGTCGTAAAATGCTGCTGTGTTTCGTACCGTGAGTGTAGAGAATCGGAGACCCTTTTCTGCCGACTTCCAAAAAGGAGACGGTACTCAATTCGACTGTATGTTTTTTTATGTGTGTTACCTCATAGCTTTTTACTGGGTGAACCGATTTCGATGATTCTTTTTTTATTTGAAAGTTGATACTTCTCGTGTGGTTCCATATGAATTTGATCAAGGTACAATATTTTTAATTTTTAATTATTACTGGAATATCCTGCGCTGATGGCTAGTTACCGAAGAGACTGGCTTCCGTGCTGCGAAATTTGGTTTGGAGAGCATTATTACTATTATTATAGCACTAATGT